CCCAGGAGAGTCAGACATCTGGATGGCACGGAGGCATGCTGCTCCCCATGCCACGCTGCTCCCCATGCCACGCTGGCGATGGCTGCCTAACCTCCCCACCATGGCATGCCCTGCTCGAACCTGAAAAAAAACCCTACATTTGGGTTTAAAAAGTTGCCATTTGGAGCAGAGGCAGAGAGCACTGCGTGTGTCAGCAGGGACTGCCACGCTTGCACCGGGTGTTTCTTGCTGCATACGTGCATGAGCTGCACGATATCTGTGTGTGGATCCATACATTCACAGACAAGCACGTCTGTTGCAGTAAATGCCTTAACACCCAGGCACTCATTTGATTTTTGAAAAAGAAGGCTTTGAAATTTTTCATGCTGTAATGAACCTACTTTTTGCTCTGCAGGTGAAACAGCATTGGGTCCCAGGCAGGTGCTGCCTCTGCTCCCCACTTGCCGGTTCAACTCCTGTTTTCAGAAACCCAACGCCGTCCGCTACAACAAAACACCAGCTCTTTGCAGCTTTGTGTTTCAGGGTGTGAAAACAGAAAAGCCTGAACTGCCAACCACTTGCTCGCTCTGCAGCTTCAAGGTCTCCACAGCGAGCCCGGGGGGTGCAGTACAGGGAGATGCTAATGCTTGCTCTTTACATGCCATCCTGCGGTGCCCAACTCCTTGGGGCAGTGCTGGGGGGACCACAGAACTCCCTGGACACAGATGAGCCGGGGCAGGGGGAAAGTCATTGAAGCGCACGGCAGCAAAGGGAGCTGGAAGGAAAATTTCCATAAAGCCTTCTGAAGGTTTGCAGTATTTTGGGGTTTCACTGAGGCCAGAGGCTGTTTTCCCACGGTTGAGACGTTTCTTTTGTTCAGATTGACGGCAGCAGCGATTCCGTCAGAGGTTTTTCCTCCCCATTGAAAAGGGCAGAGAAACGCAATCAAACCCTCCTGGCCTCACCGCACGCTTGGCAAGGAGCTGTTCCCATCACAGAAATCTGTCACAGGGGGCACAGAAAACGTAGGCCCACTGGATTGTTTCTCCCACAGATATTCCCATTTTGCTAAAGACAAAGGGGCCAAGGAGAAGCCCTGCAGCCGGCTATGGTGCTCAGCCCATACTGGGAAGCCCAGGGCATCTGGCTGGGCTGCCAAAAAAGCCGCTGCTAGATGGAGAGGTGCTCTGCGGGTTCTGAGGGTCTCTGTTTCTCCCTCCAAAGCCAGGAAGGTAATGGGGTTGAATAAATGCAGCTTGTGTGCCGTGGCTGCCCCAAGTCCAGCTGCAGCAGCCGGGCTCAGCGCTCCTGCCTCCCACCGCTTTGGCCACACCAGCTACTTATTAAAAATAGGGTTTTTTTCTTCTTGGAAAGAAGAAAAAAATAAACAAGAAACCTTCCTTTTAAGATGATCCAGACTCGTGTTTTCACAAACCTAAATGCGACCAAAAATATCTGCTTTAAACCCCAGTGCTGATTCCTGGGCAAAATCACTGTGTTCAGCTCTAGAGGCCACCCCCAACAAACAAAAATGCCATGTGGGTGGATAGAGAAATGCATACATTGATGTGGGCATCTTTTATCCTTGCCTAACCCTCGGGGCAACCTGACCCTTACAACCTCACTGCACAATCAGCCCAAAACAGGAACACCTCCAGCAATGGCAGAGCCCATGGGCAACCTTTCCAGCTGCTTTTCCTGCCTGCCCAACAGCAGAGAGCAGGAGCACTCCCCTTGGATGCTCACTGTGCGCAGGCACGTGCCGCAATAACCACGCACACACGCTGCTGTTAAAAATGCCTTAAAGCCCTCAGAGCAAGCATCTTTTGGCCACGCTATCCCTGGCCGTCAAACACCTCACCCTGTGAAGCGCTGCCCACCACCAAGCCCCTCCAGATGACAAGAAGGGTGACTCTGCACAGGTAAACAGCATTTGATGGGGACAGCCAGGTGCCACCAGTGTCCCCAAAAACCTGCCCATGCTCAGACACATGCTGCCAGGTGCTGGGCACATCCCTGCGCGGGGCTGAACAAGCGGCTCCCTCCCTGCGGCCAGGCGGGAGGTTTCCCCAGCGAAGGGCTGAGTTTTCCCCATGATGCCTGGGTGGGATGGTGCCGTGGGAAGCCGTCCCAGCAGTCAGCAGCCAGCACTGGCACTGGCTCCCCGGTGTTTGGGGAGCAGCCAACCACCAGGAGGCAAATTTCGGGCGTTGCTGGCAGGGACGTGCGTGCAACCACAGCACGTCCCAAGGAAGGCACACGGAGACCCACGCAAAGGGGACCCACGTGCAGAGGGAGCACAGGCAGCTACCCCTCCAGCACAGGGTGCAGCGGGGTACCGCGTGCACTGTTTGCAAGGCACACGCCCCTCACACTCAAACTGAAGCCAAATCAACACAGATTTTCTCTCTGTGCACGAACGAGGAAGACGAGTGCTCGCTGTCCCATTTGCAGCGGGGGACGAAGGCGAGCCGCCCCCTCCCCAGCTATGCCACACTCGCACAAGAATGTCTTGGCCGTCCTGCTCATGGGCCAGGCTCACTGCAGAGCTGCAGGACACCCCTTGTTTTCCTGAAGGGACACCAAAAAAACCCTTCTGGTCCCCATCCTCACCAGTTGTCCCCATGCAAATGCTACCTCCAATGGACCCTGGGATGTGACCCAGCCCTATGGCAGAGCCAGCACCCAACCTGGCCCTGCAGCCTGAGCAGCGGCAGCACCTCTTGCTGGGCACGGGAGAGTTCCAGCAGCCTCCTGCCCCGCACCACCACACAGAGGAGCCAACCAACATGTCTTCACTACCATTTTAAACCAGAGTGACAGCTGTCACCCAGCTGGTTTTGCACCTCTGGGCTGCTTTTGTGGATGTAGTGGGTTTTTTAGGTAGAGCATTCAAAATACTTGGTCTGCGCAAGGAAGGTCAGCAGTAAAACGTAAGACAAGTTTCAGTGCCCTAAGGGTTAACAACCTAACCTGCAGCATATTCTACTTTTGAAAAAGTTAGGGTTTTTTCCTGCAGCCAAACCCAAGATTGCCATCTTTCACCCCAGAGATGGGGCTGTGCACCAGCATTTTGGTACCCACGACCCTGACAGGCATAATCACTGCCACAGCATGCCCAGCTCCTCACGCAGCTCATGGCCAAGGATCCAAAACGTAAAGGGCAAGTCACAGCCAAGTGTGAAGCAGAGACGAGCAAGGAGGCAGGGTCAGAAAAGAAGCTTGTTCCCAGGGCAGCAGCGTGGGGAAGCTGCTCGTTGCAGCGTGGAAAAAGCTTACACAATGTGGAAATTAAAACATAAATTCCACTAAAACCAAAAGCTGGTCAGCTCCCAGCTTTTGTAGTGGTGGAAAAAGGTCTACAAATCAAGTGCAGTTTTGCTGTAAGTAGTAAAAAAATATTTCATTTCTTTACAGGTTCTTGAATTCGGTACTGCAATGCCCAGCAATGCCACCTCTGATCCAAGGCAGCCGAAAGGCACGCACCCCCTCATGCTGACCCTTTGGAGAGCATCCCTTATGCAGCCACAACTCCAGGCTGCAAAACCATGTAACCGTGTGGCTGCGCAACAGCCCTTGGCTTCCTCCGTCAGCAGCAGTACCCGTGCTGTACAGCTCGCCATATGCACGTGAACAAGGAAGAGGCTGGGTGGGATTTTAAACAAATGATGTGTTGTTTGCTTGCTTGCTGGTAGGAAAAAAAAAGAGGCACATAGAGTAAAAGAGGATTTACCCATCATCTACCTGCTCACAATGACCTCTTTTCCCTCACTCACGTGTGTCTCTGCTGCAGGGGACCTGGCACCAGGGCCCCCATGGTCACCCAGAGCCGGTGGTCCCAGGGAGCCCCCGTGTCCTTAAACAAATGATGTGTTGTTTGCTTGCTTGCTGGTAGGAAAAAAAAAGAGGCACATAGAGTAAAAGAGGATTTACCCATCATCTACCTGCTCACAATGACCTCTTTTCCCTCACTCACGTGTGTCTCTGCTGCAGGGGACCTGGCACCAGGGCCCCCATGGTCACCCAGAGCCGGTGGTCCCAGGGAGCCCCCGTGTCCTGGGATATCTCCTTCCCAGCACCTCTAGCGGGACAACCCTTGCTGGCATTGCAGGAGGTGATGGCCATAACACAGCCAAGCCCCAGCCGGTTGGGGTCATTGGCCAGCTTTTCCATCCCACTGCTGGGTCACCTGGGGGCAGGGGTGGCCCTTGGGGTGCATGGAAATAGAGGGGTGGGAACACCCCTCAGCCTCTGCTTTCCCCCTCACCCCAGCATGCTGCGACACCTCGTGCAAACAGCCTGCCCTTTGCTCTCCGCACGCTCGGGTCCATCCCCAAATCACAGCACCTGACTCCCCCAGGAGAGAAAATCAGCAACGCCTCCAACTACACCTCTGTGGTTTGATGGTTTTAATGGTACTGAAAGAAATCAACAGGGATACATTTCAGCCTTGATATACAAGTGCAAAATGGATACAATATAATGTTTTCTGTACATTTCTTACAAAATATTACATACATCCCATCCTGAAGTGGTACTTGACATACTGCTGAGCCCACACACTGCGTGTGCACAGCCGCTCTAGCTTTTTTCCGTATGTGCAGGGCATGAAGCTAATGGGAACTCCCACCGGAGCCTGGGCAGATGCTTTCAGGGCAGCTGTAGGTAAATACAAGGGGTGAATGCCTTTCTGTCCAGCCCGCCCAGAAGCAGCTCTTGGGGTGCTGAGCCACCGCTGTGCCCTTGTGACGGGCGGGCAGCATCACCCTGGTGGCACTCGCAGCTCTCGGCTGCTCTGTGGTTTGCTATAGGAAATGGCTTTTCTCGCTGCGTTTTGGCATTTTTCCCTGTGTCTTGCATCACCCTGTGCCCCACGCAGTGTGCCCAGGTTGAGCCCTGGCAAACCCATCTCCGTTTTATCCACAGTATCTTCTCAGGAAGAAGTCAGCCAGGCTATATAGCAAATAAATTAACCCCCTCCCCCCATCCCACCCAGCACCAACGAGGCTGTGGGGCACGCGTCAGTAACCGTCCTGGCAGTCATTGTCGTCGTAGTCGGCAGCAGGCTTGTTGCGGAAAGAGCCCGGCCGTCGTTTGCGGCTCCCACTCTCTAGGCTCTGTGGTGAGCTGTCGTCCCCGCGGCTGCTGGACTCGCGAGTGGTGTCCTCCTGAGAGTGGCTCTCCTCACCATCATCCTCCTCCTGGGACTCGCTGTTGTTGCTCTCTGTGGAGCTGCTGTCCTCGCCTGCGTTGTCCTCCTGGCTGCCGTCATCCTCCGGGGATGCACTCTGGCTCTCAACTGACGTGCTTGGCACGTCCCCATCAGGGTCAGAGTCATTCTCATCGTCTAACTCCTCCACAGTGTCCTCTGTGGACTGGCTCTCATCACCCTCATCTTCCCGTGACTTACTCTGGTCACCGTCATTTTCCGCAGACTCGCTGTCAGGCATGGATGGGGCACTCCTGTCCTCAGCAGACCCCCGGGCGCTCTTCCTGGGACCGGCTGCCACTGCGCTCACTTGACGTGCTCACCACCTCCTGGGAGATGTCCTCTGGGGAATCCCCTGGCTCTTCATCTGACTGGTTGGCGGCACTCTCTCTGGACTCGCTGTCCTCACTCTCCCTGGACGGGCTGTCCTCCCCATCTTTGTCCTCCTCGGAGCGGCTGGGACGGTTTTTGTCTGGTTGGCTGGCAGCAACTCGCT